CTGACCCCAACACTCCCCAGCCTGGAGCCCCCTCCCTGAGCCAGCATCCCCTTCTCCATCTCCTCCTGCATCCAGATTCCCTCCCAGAGCTTGCACCTCTCACCCCTTCCCACACCCAAATCCCTCATTCCCACCCCAGAGCCCACACATCCTGTCTCAACCCAATGAGGGTAAAGCTAGACTACAGGAGTTTTTCTGGGCTGACCCCAACACTCCCCAGCCTGGAGCCCCCTCCCTGAGCCAGCATCCCCTTCTCCATCTCCTCCTGCATCCAGATTCCCTCCCAGAGCTTGCACCTCTCACCCCTTCCCACACCCAAATCCCTCATTCCCACCCCAGAGCCCACACATCCTGTCTCAACCCAATGAGGGTAAAGCTAGACTACAGGAGTTTTTCTGGGATTCCAGAGGAATCCCGGAAAAACTCTTCCGTGTCCAAGGACACGTTTGTTCTGCTTTTTTTAGCAGAAGAGAAAAATCTTATAAGAGATAAGGTGGCTTCCAAAAGAAGGGGTTTTTCTGACATTTGGCCCTGTCTAGACAAGCCAAATGTTGGAAAAACCTCTTCCTACAGAAGAATTGACAAAAAATTCTCAGTGTAGCCATACCCTAAGAGTGTATAAGGGCTAGGGATATCAAGTGATGGAAAGGAGGAGAACAGAGAGGGTGGGGCTTCAAGGAAGTGGTAGGGTCTTACAGGAAGGATGGGGAGGTAGATCTTGGCTTGTTCTGACATTTAAAAAGTGATCTTGGGCATAAAAAGGCTGGAGACCACTGCCTTAAAGTATTAGCAGCTAGACTGCATTCTCCTCTATATCTGAAATGATGCAGAACGTAAGCTAGATCCTCAGCTGCCATAAATCAGCACAGCATCCCTGACTTCAGTGGCAGCTTCTTCGATTATGATGGTGATATAGGATCTGGCCCCACAACAGCATGGACTAACAAAGGTGAGACTGAATATAAATAGATCTCATAAGCAAAGGCCTTTAAAAATGAATAAAGTTCTATAAATGTGCCTGTAGCTAATGGCATTCCCCTGCGAGACAGGCTTTCTAGGCTTTATTTTCATTTTAAAATAAAGAAATACTGAAAGGATCAAGAAGCTAAACAGGATCCCACATCTAATGAGGTTAAATCAAAATTAACTCCACCTATTTCTTTCCCTTACTTTACAAGCACATCTGTAAAACACTCCTGCCAGAAACAAGGCCCAGGCCACTGAACACAAAACAAGCTTCAATATCCATATACTTGAAACTCTTTAATCCAGCAACTCCGGGAATTCGGGTTTGCCAGATTAAAGATTTTGCTGGGCCAGGGAGGGTGCTACTTATCTGGCGCCCTGCTCCCAAGGACACATGTGGCTTTGCACCCTGTGTCTTGCCCAGGCACTGCCTCCCCACCGCCCCCACACCACTATGGGAGTGACGGAGAAAAGACACAGGCAAAGTATGTCACTGGGTTGCTCTCCCCCCACCTGGGGGGAAGGGGAGCAGCAGTGTGCACAGCCATGTACTCCTCCATACCAGGGGTGTTCCCGGATTAAGGACATCCAGAGTACTGAGGTTCAAATTTAAAGTGTGACACCTTTCTGGGTTGATGCTAACATTCTAGAACAAATAAAGTCCAAAGACACAAATTTCACTTGCATAAAGCCATCGCTCTCATAAATGTTCCTATTGCTCTATTAATGTTGTTCCAGCTGTCTTCTGATACAGCCTTAAACCATATTGGCAAGAACATCAAAATGCTATTCTACCTTCTCAGCTGAAGTGGAGGAATTCTTATGAAAACACAGAGCAGGGCACAGACAGTTTTAGCCCAACACAGGAAATTAAACATTTTACTTTCATGTGCGTGTGAAAGAGCAAGAGACATGGGCTGACTGAACAGTGTTTGGAACAGAAAACAAACTCCCAAATCTTTGAAGGGAGACTCACAACTAGCAGGCCTAAAATGTCACTCTACCAGCTTCATACAAGTGATGCCAATGTGCAGGTATGCAGAACTTCTCTTCCCTTGCTGAACTCTCTTATCATGAGACAGAATGCTACTGGAATTTACAAGGTACCTGCTCTTGAAATGGAAGCTTGGTGAATGGAATATACCAATTTTTAAAAAGGCATCTTGAAATTTTAGACCAACCAATCCTGACAATATCTTACATGAAAAGCATGGCCTCATATTTAACAACACTTACTTTCAGGAGCATCCCCAAGTGGTGTACACTAAGACCTCTGTTCTCAACAAAGGGTCTGAGAGCCTTTGGGGAGATCTGCAGGCAGGTCTTAGGGAGTCCACTAAGCCAATGTCAGACATACTGGTGACTGGGGAAGAAAGCCAAAGGCCCATCACATGGGGCTGAAGCTTCTGAACCTGAACCTCCCACCCGGGCCGAAGTCCAAGCCTGAGCAGTATAGCTTCATGGGGACCCTTATGGCCTGGAGCTCAGGCAAGTGCCCTGTTTGCTACTCTCATATGCCAACCCTGCTTTTCTATGCAGAAAACCAGCTGTTGTGGCACAGGTGGGCCATGGAGTTTTTATAGCATGTTGGGGTGCGCCTCTGAAACAAAAAGGTAGAAAACCCTTGTATTAAGGAAATACTCTGTTCATTTCAATGGCACCATTTTGATTTATACTGGCAAAATCACTGCCCTAGTATTCTGACAAGACTGGTTACATTCTCCTCTGCCAGTTCTATTTATCCATCAAAGGTACTTTTATATGGTTCCCATCACCACACTATCTGATCACCTCACAATCTTTAGTGTACACAACATCTTTGAGAGGTAAAGAAGTGCTATTACAGATGAGGGAACAGAGACTCAAAGAAATTAGGTGACATGGAAGTCTGTGGTGGAGCTCAGATTTGAAACCCGGCCTCCCAAGTGTCAGGTTAATGTCCTACATGCAGGACTATCCTTCTCAACACCATAGCTGATTAGAAGACACAGTGAACATCTGAACAGGCAACACTAACCCCAATAATCTGCTATAGCATCTTTGGAATAGGGACCATCATCATGAAAAGCATCTGACACCCTGCCCCCTACCTGAAATAATCTTTTTCAAGATTCATTTTGGACCCAAAAATTTAATGGGCTCCATTGTAGCTATCTGCCTAACAAAAAAGTAAGACCCTCTAAACTAAACAGTACTTAGGCTGTCAAGCTAGTAGTTCTGCCAAAAAGCCACAATGTTTTCAAGGCATTACCCTCTATGGGTATGTCTACACTACCCCGCTAGTTCGAACTAGCGGGGTAATGTATGCATACCGCACTTGCTAATGAAGCCCGGGATTTGAATTTCCCAGG